ATGAAACCAAAAATGACATGTGATGGTTCTTCCCAGCTGAATTCTTTATTGTTTTCACACCTATAGACAAAACTTTGCCAGACTGAGCACTACTATTTGCATCTACAGTATACTCGTACTATTAGGGAGGGCTGTCTTAGGACTGAGTTGCCATTTGCTTCTCTGGAATGCACCCCCACCTCTTGGGGATTCACTTTCTTAAAATATTTCATCACATAGATAGCAGTGCATTGGCTTAGCAGTTAAGACACTGGGCTTGTTGACTGGAAAGATGGCAACTTGGTTTGAGGCTGAACTCCACATGATGGCATGTGTTCCTGTCCTTGCCCCAGCTCCTGCCAACTTAGCAATTCAAAAGCATGGAAATGTGAGTAGGTAAATAGGTACCACTCCATGATGTCATGCTGGCCACATGACCACAGAAATGTCTTCGGACAGTGACTCGATAGCCTTGAAATGGAGGTGAGCATCGTCCCTATAGTCGGCAACAACTAACAGAGTAAAATCCGCATGGACTCCTTTTTTTTACGTAGATAGCTTAAATAGGTGGAAAGGTATATTTGTTGGACTACATGATAGGTAAAAAGTACCCAGGTTTTAAATAATTTATGTATTAAAATGTCCTGCCTTTCTGCTTAAAAAAGCATTTATTTTCCTCCAGAGTGGGGTATTTCAGGAAAAGTATGTCAGCAAAGATGTGGCTTCATAAAGTGTCATGATACTGAACTCCGACATTTTAAATGTAAATACTAGGCAATGAGCAATGCCAGGTGCTATTATCTTTAAAAATGTTCATTTTACAGGCATCGGCTAGCTGTGATGGATCTGTCAGAGTGTGGAAAATTTCAGAACAGGTAAATAATATTTTCTGTTTCCCGTTTTAAATCTTGATTTAAATCCTAATGCAAATTTGGCGTGTCAGTGTGGAACTAATATGCAGCAATTTGCAGACTATAATTCTTTTAGCAATTTGGAATAAACCTTTTTGTATTCAGTAAGACCTAGAACACAAGCCTTAACATATACAGTACAGTCAGTTATAAATACTACGTTTAGGAATATTTTGTCTTGAAAATTGGTTGTGATAGTCCAGCTCTTTTTATGGATGATGCATGTTGTTACTTGCCTTCTCAGTGAGGAACTCTTAATAATTCAAGAAATCCCAGGATATAGTAAGAAAATCATAATGTGAGAAGCAGTAATTAATTTTTATTTACATTGGAAGAGGAACCTCTTTTAAAGCAATTGACTGAAAAAACAGGGCTGTCGCATGAATTAGTTTGATAAACTTGTTAAAACTATCTAGGGTGTTTTGTGTCTGGATGACCCTAAACCTGGATTTTTAATGTTCCAGCAATTACCCTACACCCACTTCTTGCAAATACTTTATATTTCAGAAAGGTTTATATCAAGCTAGTTAACCCCCGTTATCTTATTTTACTTCCAGAATTGTGAGATAAGCTGGCCGCTGCTGCAAAAATGTAATGATGTGATAAATGCAAAATCCCTATGTAGACTGTCCTGGCAACCGAAAATCGGAAAGGTAATAAGTCGCTTATCTATTTTTTGTTGTAGTAGTGCTGAAGGCACATGTCATAATTTGGATGTCACTGCTGTTTTATATGGATGCCTCTGGGGGTGAGTACATGTGTGCAGACGCATGCTGACTTACATAAGTGGGTAGATGGCAACATCAAAGCTTCCTTCTTGATTTCCTTGCTTGTGAGAGCTCCCGCAAAATAGTAAAAAAGTGAAGAGACACAGTGGAAGTCCAGGTTACCTATTGCCCCATTTCCTCTTTGCTGCTTTGGAAGAATCAGAGGAAAATAATGGGAGAAACTATGGGGAGGAAAGATGCCCTTCCCTTTCTTTACGCCAAGAAGTTGCAGGATCCTGAAAGTTCCAGGCTTTCTTGGACAACTCATCATTCCTTTTGCCCCTTTTCTGAGAACTTTGTTCGCTTGCAAGAAGCTTTGTAGTGAGAAAAGAGAAGTAAGAAAAACTAGCAGCAGTGGAGGGAGGAGTTGGAAGGAAAATTCAATTCATTTTTGAAAAGCATCAGAAAAGTCATAAAGAACAGGAGGAGAACAAGCAGTATTCACCTGGAAAAAGCAAGTGGAAACAAAAAAATATATCAGAGGAGATGAGAGTTATCTAGTAAAGCAGAGATGAGAGTTATCTAGTAAAGCAGAGGTCACTAACCTTTTCATGCTGGCGGCCCGGAGGGAAAGGGAGCAGCTGTGAAATGTGTGCAAGTGCATGTATGAAAAGGACTGCTTGCACCCGCATGGCTAGCGGCCCCATTTGTGCATGCATGCATGCGGTAGCCGCCGCCTCTGCTAGCACCATGCACATGTGCAAGCGGGCTGTGCAACATGCATGGTGTCAATGCTGCAAATACTGTATATTCTTGCTTTGACAATGTGCAGAACTGTCTGGTATATATATAGTTAAACCAGCAACTAGGAGAGAGGGAGGAGCATAGGGATAGCCCGGGAGAAAGAAACCAGAAGTAAATCACATCTTTCAAGTTGATTGGAAGATGTGAACCATGACCCTACAATAAGGGAGTGGATAATGTCTGGAATGCTAGGCATACTGGAAGATAAGCAGTTCTAAGCATTCCCCCATGCCGTGCTGATGTACTTTAACATTAATAAAAGCTTTTAGGAGAAAACATGCCTGAAAGTCCTTTTAAGTGTTTCGTTACTCAGACACATGACACATGGGCTAGTGGCCCTATTTGCCCATGCACTAGCCACCACCACTGCTAGCTCCACATGCATGCACAAACGGGTCTGCAGGCTCTACTGCGAGTGGGGTGAGTGCGCACACACCTAGTGGCCAGTAGGCTATGGCCCGGCATTGGGCCGCGGACCATAGGTTGCGGACCCCTGTAGTAAAGAATACTTCATGAATGATACTTTAGCGCTAATAGCAACATTTCTCTGCAAAGCCCATTGTATTTAGGTTACATTCAGAAAAGTGTTTTAGCAGTCAGTTCTGGAAAAGAAGTGAGCATGCAGAGTAGCCAGAAGCAAAGGAGTCTGCATATCATGCTTGCCCTGGATTGTGACGATTGAGGGAGAGTGAAGTCTTAATAATTTTGGTGAAAAGCCCCATTTCTCATCTAGGCTAATTCTAGTCATTAGTGATTGACCTGGAATGGGCTAGAGGATTCTCATTAAAGTAGGCTTGACAAATTAAGTTGCTGGTGCTTGGCATGTTACCATGCAGGTGTTTGATTGAAATAGGATATTTATTAAGATTTTATTGCTCTTGAGGACTCACAAAGGGATTTTAAAATCCTGTCCTATTCTAACTCAATGTAACATCTGTGATTGCTTGACATTTACTATTTCTTGAGACTTGGTTCAATAGTTTATGAAAAGTTTTTCTGGAATAGGATACTATCTGTATGACTCTTGGAAAAAGTGCAGAGAAGAACAACAAAAATGATTAGAGGGCTAGAGGCTAAAACATACGAAGAAAGGTTACAGAAATTGAGTATGTATAGTCTAATGAAAAAAAGGACTAGGTGGGATATGATAGCACTGTTCCAATATTTGAGGGGCTCCTGCAAAGACGACGTGGTCGAACTATTTTCCAAAGCACCAATAGGCAAGACAAGAAACAATAGAAACAATAGGAGAGACGCAACCTAGAACTAAGGAGAAATTTCCTAATGATGAGAGCAATTAACTAATAGAATAATTTGCCTTCAAAAGTTGTGGGTGCTCCATCACTGAAGGCTTTCAAAAAGAGACTGAACAACCATTTGTCTAAAATGAAGTAGAGTCTCCTGCTTGAGCAGAGAGTTGGACTAGAAGATATCTGAGGTCCTTTTCAACTATTCTGTGTGGTTCAAATGTATTCCACGGTTCCTTGATTTGAAACCAAGATATTTAACCATTTATTTATTTATAAGATTTATTGGCCATGTTGAACAAGCCATCATGGCCAATATTTATGTTCACAAATCACACTAAACTAAAAACCAGTCCCATTATAGCTTACCCAGATGTGTGCAGACCAAGTCTTTGTGCCCTGTGAGTTTTTTTTATAAACAAAACCAGGATAGGACTTATTAAAAAAGCATTTAAAAATCAGGTCCATCTTATTAACATTTTTTTCTCCCTAAATAGCTGCTAGCCATTCCAGTAGAAAAAATAATCAAAGTATATAGAAGAGAAACATGGGATCATGAACTGGATCTATCAGATAATTTTATCACACAGGTTGGTATCCTTTTAGAAAGCTGCTTTTTAATCTGCTCTTGTTCTAAGTAATGTTTGCTTGGTGTCAGGGAAGAGAAAATCGTATTTTCTTAAGCTGATTGATTGTTAGTCAGTCTGTTTATGAAAGAGTTTGGTGCTAAATGGAAGTCTGATATTTGGCTTATGTATGTATGTCCGAGTAAAAGCAAAGACCTATGATCAATAGTAGTAATCAGAGGTTAAGGTTCCTTTGTTTTATGAGCTGTGTAAAATCTTGCAAAGCAATAGTTGTGCTGCCTGTTACACAAGTGTGCTTTCCTCTTAACATTAGCTGGCAAACTACTTCAACACACCTATTCTTACCAAAAAGCAATGCAAAAAATCTGTTTCTTTTATTCTATCTTGGTAGTCCTTTACTAGGCTCCTGGCTAAGGGAAAAAAGGAAGTCCCTGCTTGCCTACTCAGCCCCCTAGATGGGCATCCAATCTAATTTCCAAATTTCTACTTTTCATATGGATGATGATCGTAAAAAAAACCCCCATCCAATTATCTCCCTCTGTTGTCCATGGATCCAAATAGAACTTACCTTCTGGCATGGCTGAAACCAGACAATTCAGCCTGTGTTTTATTATGGTTAAGTGGTAGGCTTCCAGGCTGGTCTCCACTGCTCAGTCTGCTGAGACTCCTATCTCACCACCATTAATAGTCCCAAGATGGACTGTCCAGGCTGTAGGATGGCTGTGGCTTCCAGTTTGAATCCTGCAGCTGTTCCTTGGTCTTCGGACTCCTCTAATGTCCAATATCCCCAAAATAATTTCTTCTGGATAAGACTCCTGGCTGCCATTGCTTCTTGCTTCTGCACACTCCTGTGACTAATTTCTGTTAGTCACCCCAAACCCATGGCCAAGCCCACTATGACCCACTGCCATAATGAATTTCTGGGATGTGTGTACCAGCACAATTCTGCCATTGCCACAGGTTTTCTGCCCAGATATAAATTTGTTGTCTTGACTTTCTCAATCCCTTCTCTTCATCTCTCTGTCCTCCTCCAAAACAGTACTGTAACATGATACAAACAAATTAACAACAAAAAAGCCCCGCTAAAACATCTTTCACCCTCTGCTCAAAGAATGAGTACATCAAACACAATCTTAGCCAAATAATTTATTAATATCAAGGACTTGTTTTTTTTCCCCCATGTTAGCCCCTAAATATTGTGGCCTGGTCTCCTTGTGGACAATATTTGGCAGCTGGAAGTATCGGTGGCTATATAGTCATTTGGAAAGTGGAAACACAAGAATGCCTGGAAAGGTATCACTCGGTTTCTGTATCTCTTACAAAGATGGGCTTTTGCAAAGACAAAGAAAACTTATGGGAGCCACTAATATATGACATAAAAGGTTTGGACAACCTATACCATAAAATCAAAACTGGCAAATTTTGAGACTTTCTTCATTCACACTTTTTTATCAAGTAGCATAAAGTTAATTGTTTGGCTTTGGTTTAGCACATAGTTTAAGACAAGGGTCCCCAACCCGCAATCCCTGTTTGGAATTGGGCCATGTGAGCAGCAGGCAGGCACCACATGCTTGCGTGAGCAGTAGGCTAATGTGCGTGCACACACACACACACACACATGCAGCTCAACTTGTGCAAGTCGAGCTGCGTGCACATGCGTATGCGCACTGGCCTGCCACTTGTGTGGCTTGGTTCCCCTCTATCTCCCCCCCGTCAAGCCGCCAAGCCACAAAGGTTGGGGACAGCTGGTTTAAGACCATTAGGCCTTAGCAGCAGCTAAGCAAAGGTCTTCTTGTCTGAATGATTTCAGATGCATCTTTTATTATTCTTGCCTTTTTTTAGGGTGAAACACGATAAAGGTTACACTGTCTGTGGTCTGGCATGGCATCCCAAAGGTGGCCAGCTTGCTTATACAGATACAGAAGGCAATCTTGGACTACTTGAGAATGTCTGTGATATAGAAAGGAAGAAATCAATACATAAGGTAATATAAATTGGAAGTTTCCTTGTTTTTTCTATTAACTTTGTGATTATGAACCTAAATATATGAATCTGACGTTTATTGGCTGGAAGGCAGATCTTTCCTTTTTTAAAAAATGTTTGCTAATTTGGTATACTGTTAAATCCTGACTTTAGGCACCTAATGCTTCCAGCAAAAGCTATGATGACCTTTTTGATGAGGATGCCAAAGAGGACTTTCTGAATAGGGATTTCAGTGAGGATGACTGGGGCTCTAAGGCAGCAACAAACGATGAAGATGAAGATGACTTTAAGATAATGTCGGGACGTCCCAGAAACCGAGGCGCAATAATAGAAGATGATGAGAACTCCCTAGGTGAGGATTTCCCAAAGCGGGAGGTTCGGAGCAGAGGGAGGGACTGTGAATGTTGGGGCAACTATAAATCTATAATCATTTGGTAATGCTGCCAGTTTGGCTGCCAGCATTGTGAAGATGCTATAAAATGTCTTAATATGATCTATCTGCCTTTCATAGATACTGGATTGCTGAAAGCTAATTCTGACCTCGATAAGGAAGATGAAGAGGATGATTTGGACAATTTTGTTCCAGTTCAGCCGCTGCCATCCGACCAGAGGCCACTCTACAGTGGGCCATTGCCAACTCCTCGGCAAAAGCCATTCCAGTCTGGTTCTACCCCAACACATCTCACTCACCGCTTCATGGTTAATTTCAGATTTAAATTGCTTCATTAGCTGATCTTTTGGACAATAAGATTATTAATATTTTAAATAATTTGTAAGAACAGGCCAGAACTTATAAGGCAGTATATAAATTTAAATAATAGTAGTAATAGTAATAATAATAATGAAGCTTCTAAATAGCCTGTATAAACAGCTTCACTTAATGCAAAACTGAATGGCTTTTAACATATGCTGGGATCACCTTCAAACTCTAGCTTTATCAGCCTAAGCCTAAGTTGATAAAGATCTGCAATTCTCATTCAAAAGCAAGTTCATTTCATAAGTAGCTCTTGACTATAAACTTGTTCCTATAAAAACAAGATAAGTATCATCAGTTGGTCCCCTTAACATTACTGACTGCACTTTTTGTGCAGTCTTTTCTTTTTAAAGCTTTGAATATTTATATAAAGTGAGTTGCAAAAAAAACAAAAAAAAAACCCTTTCCAAAATAAAGGTAGGTGTCTTTCCCTCTATAAATAGGAGGGAAAGAGAAATGTATTTAAGTATATTTAGATAAGGGTAGGGTTAGAATCCATTGCTTCTTCTTTTAGAGAGAATGGAAATCTGTTCCAGAAGTTAGAAATTTGGCTTACTTATCAGATGTAATCCTGTGTTTTGCTACTGATCTATTCTGATTATTCAGCAGACTTTCTGTCTACTTCAATGGCAAATTCATGTTGCAACTTATATAATTTATCCATCTTGGATAAATAGTCCTCCACTGATGGTGCTATCATCCCTCATTCTCTCCATCTCAAACTTCGCCTGCTGATTAAACATACCCAGACTATATGAATGGGCTGTGTGTTATCATATGGCTTATACATACATATATACTGCATATACATATGACAGATCTGAAGTCAAACTTGCAGAAATATTTCTGTCTTCTTAACAAGCCTTAACACAGGGATGTCAAACTCAATTTCATTGAGGGCCGCGTCAGCATTGCGGTTGCCCTTGGGGGACTGGGTGGGTATGGCCAGGGTGGGTGCGGCCTACTGGGTAGGCATGGATGGAGTGGGTGTGGCCGATTGGGTGGGCATGGCCAGCTCTACATCGTTCGCGTCAAGGGTGCCTGTGGGGGCCTGGGCAGGAGTGGGACAGATCTGAGGGTCTCTGGCAGAAGGGGGTGGAACTGGGGTAAGCGCCAAAGCATGGTCCATTTCTTCATTCCTCGCAAAGGGTGACACCTCCCCAGCATGCACCCAGGGGGCGGGGCCAACGTGGCAGGGGCTGGTTCCTCGCTGTTTCCAGACAGCCTTGTGGAGCTAAGACTGAATGCATTTCAGCATAGATGGCCACCACAAAATTGTACATTGGCTCCCGGCCAACCTGGACCTCAGGGCCAAGGCGGAGGGGCCGTTCCCTCACTGTTTCCAGGATGGCTTCACGGGCCACATGAAACCACTTCACGGGCCGCATCCAGCCCCGGGCCTTGTGTTTGACATGTCTGCCTTAACATCTCCCTTATAGGTATGGAACTCTGTGGGTATTATTCGCTGCTATAATGATGAACAAGACAATGCTATTGATGTCGAATTCCATGATACCGCAATACATCATGCAATGCATTTGCCAAATAATTTGAATCATACAATGGCAGACCTTTCCAGTGAAGCTATTTTATTGGCCAGTGACAGCACAGAGGAACTAGCAAGGTAAAAAGACAAAGTACTTAATTGTGAATTACAGCCAATAAAACTAACCTTTGTATTCCATGAACTCACAAGGGAGTAAGAGTAATGAGGATGGGATCAGTGCACTTCAGAGCTGCTGTCGTGTTCTAATTGCTTCAGATTTTCCTTTAAAAAAAATCACATGGAGAATGAGGAAAAAGTGAAACCGATTACTGCAGAGCTCCAAATTGGAACGACTTAATATTAATTCAAAAGCATAATCAGCAAGCATTTTAGTTTATAATGCTCAAAAATGCAAGGCTAGAGGCATGTATCTGGACCGCCCTATATTCATGTTTTACATTCATTTCCCTCTCTCATTTTTAGCAAGCTTCATTGCATTCATTTCAATTCCTGGGATCCTAACAAGGAATGGACTGTTGATATGCTGCAGGATGAAGACATTGAAGCTGTTTGTTTGGGCCAGGGCTGGGCTGCATGTGCCACTAGTTCTCTTCTGCTTCGTGTGTTCACCATTGGTGGAGTTCAGAAAGAGATTTTCAGTTTTCCTGGACCTGTGGTGTCGATGGCAGGACATGGAGAGCAGCTGCTGGTGGTCTTTCACAAAGGTGCTTTCTGTATTCTTTTGTTTGTTGTTTAGTTGTTTAAATTTAAAATGTTGATTATTCAAATCTCTTTCAGGTGTCCTTGTATGATTGGGGAAGGGGTGTGGCTGCAGTGTTTTCCAGGACCAGGAATTTCCCCAAAAAATGACCTTAGAAAAAGTTTGATGTTGAAATGAGCCCTTCTACATTCTGACTCTAGGGCAAATTTAAATCAAACATTTGGTCATTCTGCATAATTCCCTCTTTAATTTTTTTTAAAGACCGTGCCATTATAGCTTTGAATTTATTAACTCATCCCATTTCCAAGTAGAATTGAAATTTTAATTTTAGTCACATGACTAAGCTGTCTTGAAGTATCTAAGAACTGCATCTGTCACTTTCTGTTACCTTTATCCAAAACTAGAATTTGCCACCTAGTTCTAGTGCTTACATTTAGGAAATCTTGAGCTAGGAAGCTTTTTTAATTAAGTAAAATCATTCAGTACTGTCAAATCTGCCAATAGCAGTAATGAAAAACCAGGACACTTTATGCTGTGTTGCTGCTTTCCTTCTGGGTGGAGATATTGAGCATGTAAGTCTGCTCTGTCATTCAGCCATGATTCAGTCTGGCTTTCTATTGTTTGTCTTTATTTTTTTAAAAGATGCAATATTAGTAAAGGTAGAAGTTAAGGATTCAAAAGACTGCAAACATTATTCTACAACTCACAGTGATTGCTGTAAAAGTAGAATAATGATAATTACTATACTTATTAGAATTTTATTTGGACAAATATTTTAGATCTCATTTCATGAATATAATTTTATGTTCCTAAAATAATTTTAAGTTCCAAATTATAGCCATGTTGACAATGTTTAAAATTACTCAGTGAATAGAATTCCATCACAATCATTCAGTAGCATAAAGAAGAATTTGCGTCTGCGCAGCTAAATTCCTTCCTTTTCTTTACCCTTCCCCACAATTTTTTAGTGTGACTTACTTTGGTCAGAATTAACACTGTACCTTTCCCACTCCCACCTTTAATTGTAGGCACTGGATTTGAAGGGGATCAATGTCTTGGAATTCAGCTTCTAGAACTTGGGAAAAAGAAAAGACAGATTTTACATGGTGAATCACTTCCTCTTTCCAGGAAATCCTATTTAGCATGGATAGGATTTTCAGCAGAAGGTAAGATGGTTCAGATAAGATATAATTAAATCCTAATTTATTATTTCATTAATGAAATAATATTGAGGGACGGTGAATGTGATCAAGTCCTTTGTACATTTGCAGCCCTCAACCCCGTTTCATATCAAACACTTCCCAGACATCAGGAATGGAACACATCGCATGCTTAGTTGATTAAAAATTATGCATCCATTATTGATGTTAAAACAGTGCTTTTGGTTTCTAGGATGAAAGGGAAAAAGGAAATGGGTGGACTACATTGAATGTCCATGTATTTTTACTCTGGGTTACCAGAAGAGGGAGTTATTGCCAAAGTTTGCTACAAATCTGTTGATTTTCTTCAAAATGTTTTGTACTTTTTAATATACGTGATGATGATGATGAGAGATGTAGCGTTTAACATGATGTTCATTCATGAACCTCTACAGCTGCTTCAAAGAAAACTGATTGTCGAAACAAAACTATGTGCTTTTCTAATGAATAACTAGGTACTCCCTGTTTTGTGGATTCTGAGGGTATTGTACGAATGCTGAACAGAAGGCACGGTAATATTTGGACCCCAGTCTGTAATACAAGAGAGCACTGTAAAGGGAAGTCAGACCACTACTGGATTGTTGGCATTCATGAGAACCCTCAGCAGCTCAGGTACAAAAATAATTTAAAATGGTCCCTGTTCTTTAGAACAGGGCTTTTCAACCTTTTCACCCATTGTGCCACTTTTAGGATATGGCAACGGCCGAGTACCACTAGTCGCCTACCAAAGTGTCAAAAACTTGATGACCCCCCCCCTCCCCAAAAGGAAAAAAAGTGATAAAATACAGGTAGTCCTCGACTTACAACAGTTCGCTTAGTGACTGTTTAAAGTTACAATGGCACTAAAAAAGTGCCCCCCAAGCCACAGCTGAGCAAGACACCTGCCTGCCCGCCCGACAGTGCTCTTCCTCCTGTCCAAGGTTTTCATTGTTGTGAGCATTTCTGCTGAGGATTGATAGAGGGGGTGGGCTGGGGGGGTGTTTGGTTTTTATTCCCCCCCCCCCGTCTCCTGGGTGGCTGCAGCAGGTTTTGGTCACTTCACATGACTCTGGGACACTGTGACCGTCATAAATACGAATCAGTTGCCAAGCATCTGAATGTAAATCACAAGACCCTGGAGATGCTTCAATATTCCAGCTGATTGGCGCTTCTTCTGGGCTCAGCAGGAGCGCCAGGATCAGTGCTGCTTTCCAGCTGATTGGTGCTTCCACTGAGCCCTGACAGCCCTGCAGCTCCAGCCGTCTCTCGCTCAGGCTTGTGCGGTGCTGCCACCAGTTTAGCTCATTCCCCTCCCCTACTACCACTTTTCTAGGATGGTCGCGTACCACCTGCCAGGTGCCAATGTACCACAGGTACCACTGGTTGAAAAGCCCTGCTTTAGAAGAGTGTTCAACACAGAAATATTCAAACATCTGTTGAAAGATCATTTTCTCAATCATCCTTTCTTGTCAGCTTCCCACCACCTTATTTCATTTAAACTAGAGCCTCCCAGAATTATTATTTTTTTTTTACTAGAAAGAGGCCTGTGGAACTAGCAATTCACCTGCCATATGCACAAAAATATTGTGTTCTTCCAATTCCCCTTTCAAGTAACTCTTTTCTTGGAAATTCATTAAAGCCTCAGAAAATGTCAGCCTGGGAAGATGAGTATGAATGAAAGTCATTGTGGGTTGTTTTTTTTCCCTCTCGTTCATCCAAGATAAATGATGATGGAAAAAACATCATTTAAACACAGTTTAAAAAGAATGTCTATGAAAATGTTACCTTCGTTGAAGGCTTGGTTTTAAAAGAGTGGCTGATTGGGTTAGACATTTAGATTGTGAAACACTTTCCAGATAATATTTTTAATTAGTTCATTGAACAAGAATGATGCACTTATAATATTTATTAGGCTTCATTCCTTTAATCCCTAATGTAACATAATAGACAATGAAATATAATTAGTAGAATGCCAGTAGCAGAGTTGTGGATATAAGAGATGGAATTTGAAACCCTCTCTAACCACATTTATGCTCACAACCTTCTAGTCTCATTTGATGCACTTCTCCAGTGAATTTGGCATCTTGATAAAGCAGTTTTTTCTTGGCTCAGCCTTGCAAAGAAGCTGATTTAAGTTAGTCATTTGATTAATTAAATGCAAGAGATGGAAACTAATCAAGGAGAGAAGCAACCTAGAACTAAGGAGAAACTTCCTGACAGTGAGAACAATTAACCAGTGGAACAACCTGCCTCCAGAAGCGGTGAATGCTCCAACACTGGAAGTTTTTAAGAAGAGACTGGACAGCCATTTGTCTGAAATGGTATAGGGTTTCCTGCCTGAGCAGGGGGTTGAACTAGATGACCTCCAAGGTCCCTTCCAACTTTTATTATTATTATTATTATTATTATTATTATTATTATTAATTGATTTGTCTAAAATGGCAATATATTATTAGGCCAGTCCATACTTAAGATGACTGTGACATTATACTTTCTGTGTGAGCAATCTTCTATTGTCTGACTTTACTAAAAGCTCTGCTAAATAATTATAAAACATGGCATCTTACATTAAATGAATTAAAGTGACAAAGGAATAATTCTTCTATTTTTAGAGAACTCTTATTTGGATGCTAAATAAAGTATTTGCCTATTCAAGGCTTAGAGAAAACTCAGGTTTTTTTTCCCTAAAATTTGTTAATTTTTAGCCTGATACTAAAAAGAAATTGAGAAAAATGCAAACTTCCTCTTCTTTACATGTATACTGCTGAATGTGTAGACAGCTTGTCCATGCTATGGTGACTCTGGGAAGGAGAAGGGGGTTGCATTATATCTTTTGATTCTGTATTTTTCTTGAATAGATGCATTCTTTGTAAAGGAGCTCGTTTTCCAGCTACGCTTCCCCGTCCTGCGATAATAGTGCTGCCATTTAAGCTCCCTTTTTGTCAAACTGCAACAGATAAGGGTCAAATGGAGGTGGGTAATCAGAATTTATAATTAAGATCATTGTACGGTTTAGTTGCAGTTGCATATAATACACACACAAACACAAACTACATATAGAAACAGTGGCCCTACTTGCATATGTATGTCTCAGCTTTAGGATGATGGTATGCATTCTGTGGCAATATTTATACATAATGTATAGACTACATTATGTATTAATTTCTCAGCTGTTCCCCCCTCCCCAATAAAGCCAGCTAGCAAGTTCCTAATCCTTAAAATTGCCAAGTTACACTTGGAAGCGTATGGATACCATCTGCTGAAATCTTGAAAGCAAGAGGGGGTGAAGATGAATAATCTCTCAAGTTAAAAGCAAAGCTTTTGACGCTATATATCTAAATGTTTGCATGGTTGAAAGGATGTTTTGCTCTATTTGATTTTGTAAAGTTACCTTTACATTTTCAAATTAATTCAAATTCCAATTAATGTGATCTATTTTGTTTGCCTATTTCTAGTCCTTTATTTAATTATCACAATTTCAGAGTAATTTATAAACTTCTCCTGGTTCAGTACTATATTTTATATTATGTATCTTGCAGCCATGATAAAATAGTTGTATAAACTATGTTTTTCTTTCCTTTCTCTGCATGTCGTAGGAGCAATTCTGGCGCTCAGTCTTGTTCCACAACTATGTAGACTATTTATCTCAAAATGGATATGAATATGATGAAAGTGTGAAAGGCCAAGCAGTCCAAGAACAGCAGAATCTCCTGATGAAAATGTTTGCAGTAAGTGGGTAAAGTTATAAATCTCTCTTCTTCAGTCTAATGCAGTGGTTCTCAACCTGTGGGTCGGGACCCCATTTGGGGTCGATCGACCATTTCATGGGGGTCGCCAAGCAAGGCTGTCCGCCATTTTTTTTGTCTGCCATTTTTTTCCCCTTTTCCGGCGGGTGCCTTACCTCCCTTGAGCTGGGCCAGCTGGTGGTCGGCCTGCTCCGTCTCTGCCACTTGCCAGCTATGCCTCGGCCGGCGCAGGGGGCGGAACCACACATGTGTGGTGCTCCCGGGCAGGGAAAGTCCTCGACTTACGACCGGTTTAGTCCTCGACTTACGACTGGTTGGGGTCGCAGCATTAAAAAGGTTGAGAACCACTGGTCTAATGCCTTTCAGTTGTACTAGATTTCAGCTTCTGCTAAGCCTCAGACTACCAAACCGATACAGGAGTTAAAATAAAACATCAGAAGGGCACCACACTGGGGAGGATTATTTCAAATTTACCTGAGTAAAATTTCTTAGACGGTTGATTATTATATTACTTAAATAAAAAATCCTATTCAATAATTTTTTTTCTTTGTAATTTTTTTTAATTGTTCCACACAATCGTTTATTCCAGAGTTAACTTTTATTAACTCTGAAACGGACAAGGAATATTTTAAGCACAAAACTAGGCAAAATGTAACTTGTTAATATAGGTACTGTACTGTTCAGTGTAAGTTAGACAGTCATCCCGGCCAATCAACAGAAAAAAATATTGAAAGTGTCCATAGCAAACTGAGATAACATCAAAAAGATGAGATGTGCATCACAACCCAGTCTTGCCTTTAAATGCTTGCATCCTGATGTCTGATGCATGCGTGTAAGTTGTGAGTTTTGTGTCATGATACTGCTTCATTGCTTGCCTTCTTCCCAGGGCCGTAGGTAATTTGACTGTGGACAGAGCTGCTGCAAAAGAGGAACCAAAGCACCGGCATAAAGCTGGCAGGGAGGCTCAGATAAGGAGAGGATCTAAGGCAGGAGAAACTTGAACTAGAGGAGATGAATGTGTTTAGGCACTTGTGTCAGGAGTAGCAAGAGCTTTGGGAAGCAGAAGGCCAGATCCAGAGATAAAGGAAGACCAGGCTCAGGAAATGAGTCGCCTTGATCAGCAATTTATGTTCAAAGCTCAGGCTCTTAGTGCCAACCTAGAAATGAAATCAATTGTGTGACTATCCTACCATGTTTTATAAATAGCCTCAGGAAGCCTGAGTATTCTTGTAATTATGGGGCGAAGACTGAGAATTTAACACTTATCTGTACTTGCCAGGATCCTAGTAAAAATGGCCTATCCTAGCCAAACCCATTTGTTTTTCAAGATAAGCCTGTTTCAACTTCCTTGAAATATAAAGGAGAGGCCATTTTTGGGAGAGGAACCTGAGAAGGAGAAAGACTCTTAGTCTCCTTCTTCCTCAGCCCATACTTCTGCTTACTCAGGCTTCCCAGTGGCTTTTATGTACTGTGCAGGTTAATTATTAGATAGGTTTGGTCCTTACCTACACTATATTATAGCCATCTGCTCATTATTGTAATAGAATGTTTGAAAAGCAGAAAGAGACACAAGTTTCTTGAACTCGCTATTTTTTTTTTAAATTTAAAAAACTACTATATAATATGGAAGTTCTCTGTGTCTTAAATATAGTTTTTCTCCAGTGGATGTTTCACCTGCAGTTTTCCGGAGAGTGCTCACTTTGCAATCATAATTGGAGTTATTTTCACAGCTACGGAATGGCCTTATAAGCAAATAGCTGGGACTCATTCTGTTCTGGCCTGGATGTGTTAGGGTTCCTTGAATTTCCATCTAGTAAAGAATGAATGAGAACTGAATGTTCTATTTTAGAGAACAAACATTTTTTTATCCTTTTTTCCCCCAAATAAATATTTCTCTGAAAAATATTAAAACTTTTTTTTTTCCTCTTTGCTTTAAAAATAGTTATCTTGCACACTGGAACGTGAATTTCGCTGCATGGAGCTTGCTGAACTCATGACACAAAATGCCACGAGCTTAGCTATCAAATACGCCTCTCGCTCACGGAGGCTGATTCTTGCCCAGAAGCTCAGTGAATTTGCTGCGGAGAAGGTCTCAGAGCCGGCATCTACTGAAGAGTACGC